AGGATGTGAACCTATGACATACAACTATCTACTGGGGCTTTGGGGGGAAAAAACTGAATAAATAAAATCTTAAAAAAAAAAAAAAAGAATATAGGTCATCCATGTAATGGTTCTGTCCTGCTGGAGAGCATGCAGTTAGCACATATATTAACTGATATAAAATGATTGCCAAGATTTAGTGTTATGTGAAAAAGCACTGAGTAATGTTTCCTTTCATGTTTCAAAGGGAGATATATTTTCATAAATATGAGCTTGGACAAACAAGCTTACTGGAAAGATGCAGGAGAACTGCTAAGAGTGATTGATGCTGAAGAGGGGGCCTGAAACCCTGGAAGTGAGAAGGAGCCTTTTTAATAATATGTGTATATTATTTTTTCAATAAAGGATCAAATAAATTTCTGCTTTTATACTTAATTTTCCAAAAAAAGATAAAATATATATTTAAAACCACTGTGAACAAAATTGTTGACCAATTTGTCTTTCCTATCCAGCTACTTCTTATAACAACTTGCCCTTCCCACCTTCCTGAAAAGCCACCCTCATCCTTGCTTATCCTCACCTTCCTTTGCTTAAAGGAGAAAGTGGGCACCCAGCCAGAGGGAGCACCCCACATTCCCATCCAGTCCTTTCTTACTGATTAGGTCAGTAACGGTCATTTCTCTGTACCCACACTCATCTGGCATTGTCAAATTGAGGTATGTAATTACGTTAACTGAAGTTTCTTTTATTACAGTGAAGTTAACATTTCTCACATTCATTAACCATATATATTTCTTCCTTTGTGAACTGTCTATTCACATCATTTGTCCATTTTTCTATTATAGGTTTTGTCTTTTTCACATTGGTTTGTAAGAAAACTTTATGTAATAGAATATTAGCTTATTTAGTACAATTATTTTTTCCCTCAGTTTTACAGCTTTTAGTTTAGGAGTCTTTTTGATTATAAGGAGCAGAAATATATTGAAACTAACTCAAGGAAAGTACCTAGGGATGTCAAAGAGCCCGGGGAAAGGAAAAGGAATACTGCCTGGCCTTATGCCATCCCGAGCTGGGAACTGGCATCCAGTCGCTCTTCCTGGCTTTTAGAGCCACCTGGACTCTGTACGTCTGCTCCATTCCCCCCGCCCCCACACCCAGGGACGTCCACTTACTGCCGTTTTAATAAGGCTTAACAAGCCTGCTAGCTTTTCTTTCCATAATGGACCCTCAGCTCCAGGACCAACTATGTAATTAGGACTAATGACCCCAAGCCCCTTCAGCTGTGGACTCTCCTCCCAGCTGTTGGAACACAGCAGGCAATCTACCCATTCTGTTCTCTGGTTGAGGACCCCAGGGTCCCTGTCCTCCCACTCGAGTCTGCTCTCTTGGACGACTCCTCAGCCACCGTCACAGGACCTCCCTGCACCTCATCCAGGACTTGAGTCTTC